CTCCCAAAAGCTGGCTGCTCGAAGGCTCTGGCTGACAGGTGTCCTGGAAGCCACACAGGACTCGTCCGCTTGGGACTGTCGTGAAACCTGAAACGTTCACAACCTGAAACCTGACACGTAGGGAAGCTTTGTGACCAACTCTTTTTCAGGTTCCATGTCAGCTGAACCCGAATTTGTACAGCAGAGTGGTGATGTGAAGCAGCCGCAAAAAACATGGAAGACATGTCAGCACGTGTCGGCACCGCTTTTTGCATTTGATTCTCAACTTTGAGCGCTAGAACTCACTGGAGAATTCTTCACCATCATAATAGAAATGTTCAGTGTCGCCCTCAACCCACCAAACAGCCTGTTCCAGAAAGTCGGGCATCTTCCTCCGACCTTTTGAAAACCAAGCTGCCAAAGCATAGAGATAGACATCATGGGTACAAACCAAGAACAACTCCGTCTCTTCACTTCTGCTCCGTCTTGTCCTTCCTGAAAGATCACACGTGTCACGAAGTGTCTGGACACATTCCTCCAAGGGTCGAAAGCCCAAGATCTGCTTGCCAGCTGCGAGATCATCGACGACGGGTCGCCATCCCCTTGCCCAAAAAGCCTCGGCAGCTTCCTCTTCTTGGCCGGGCATGTGAGTTCCATTCATCCAGGCAGAAGAGCTTTCAACCTCGAGGCAGTTTTGGCCCTTCAATGCAGTGTGGACGGCAGCCATAGTCGCATGGCATCGGGGAACTGGACTCGTTAAAAGCCCAACGCATTGCATTTGACCTTCAGAAACCAAGATATCAGACAGCTTTGCCCCGAAGGCTTCGGCTTCTTGAAGTCCTCTTTGAGTCAATGCAGCGTCATGCTGCCGCTTCCAGAAACCCTCATCGGGTTGGTCATCTTTCTGCATGTCTTCATCGGAGACCTCCTTCTCACCATGTCGGAAGATCACACAAACACGTCTCACCTTGGGATTCGAAGCCAAAGCTTTGATGCAATCTTCTGTCCTCTCAAGGCGCTGTCGCGGTCCAACCGCACTGAAGGTGATCGGGAATTGAAAGTACGCCATGGCGAGGCCAATGGTCGCAATCGGCCAAGCTGCGGCGCATCTTTCGCGAGCTGCCATGGCTGCACCGAGCTAGCAATCACCAATCTTCCGCCCTACATGACATGGCTGCGGGAGTAGCCCCAGAAAGCCCATTCGTTGGTTCAAGACCTCTTGTCGTCACAGAGTGTGTGAGGCTTTGATGCATATATATATATATATATATCCAATCAACCAAGCACAACAAAAAATATTGCACCAGTTAGCGAATACGTGCTAATGCGTCGCGTATGGCAACTTCAGAAACAGCTCAGTCCTCTTGGGACAAGGCCATACCCTGGCGGCAGAAAAGCGATAGCAAACCACAAATTGTGAACGCAAAATGGGAACATTATTCCAAAGACATGAGAAGAAAGAAGAATGGGCCTTCGTAAAGTAACAGGGAAACCTCCAATCACCAGCCAATTGGATTGAGACTCACCCAAATAATGTGAGAAAAGCTTAAGCAAGCCCTGCCTTCAACCCTGAGTTTTGAGTGGAAGCGTGTGGTCTGAGCCAACGAACATATTGGCAATGTGTTCAAAGCACCACAATCCTGCCTACCTGATAAGGAATGTGAATCAAAAGACTACCCCACTTTTGCGCGTCCTTAGCTTGAAAGTAGCCGCAAAATGCCTGCTCATAGCAGCAAGAACTCTTGTGGTTTCTCGCTGGCTTGCAAGTCGAGCTCATGACTGGAACGGTACGCCTTTTACGTTGCGGCGATCATACCTCTGTCCAGTTCCAGTATGAATCGACTGCACATCATATTTTTCCAGAGCTGCAAGCCCTGACGCCACGGCTCACTCCTTCGGCCAGCGGCGCATGTTGCAGCCCACGCATAGACTGCGAGTTGAGTACGTTGCCACCAGATCCTCATATGGCTCCCCTCTGAGGATGTCTTCGAGCTTGTCCTCTGAGCTGGTCAACGGAACCAACCAAGGGATTTGGAAAACGGATACTGGAAACCCCTGAAGCTTGAGCCAGCCATGGAGCGTCCATCGTCAGGGCTTGTGTAAGAGGATGATTTTGTTTGGAACAAAGGTCATCAATCCATGTCTTCCGGTCCGCCACAACTCTGCAACTCTGTCACGCTGCAGTCCTCATTCAAGTTGCCAAAATACCCAAGAGATAGGCGCTGTTCGTTGGGAGCACAGCATGGGTTGAAGCGTCCATCAGCTGCAACCCAAAACTCCTCACAGTTTAGCATTGTCAAATCACGTTGAAAAGCAACAACTCTGATGATTACTACGTTGGGCTTGTTACTGGTTATCCAAAATCAACTCTTGACGGAGGTCTCCATTCTCTGTAGCTGGTCACTCGTCCGTCTTCCACCCTCCTTCACCAGGAAAGGGCACGGTGCGCCCGGAGCCAGATCTTCGCCCGCACTCTCCGGGATGAAATCAATGCCTTCCAGCTTTATTCCTCAGCAAGCAAACAAGGAAACAACGATTTTCTAGAATTCCTGCTGCTCAACCTACTATATAATGTTTTGTGCATCTTGCATACCCCAAGTTCTGAGTCAAAGAGTGTACGCAACAACAATCACCATGTCCTCCGCATTGAGTCCAGGCAATCACTACTTCTCTCCAAGCTTCCATGGCACTCTGCAACCTTCAACGCCTTCGGTACCATCTGATTCCAGGCCTCAACCGCCTGAACATTCCGCTTCATGGCACGCCCAGCCATCTCAGACCAATGTGCCCACAAGTGGTGCCCCTTCACACGGTTTATGCCCAAGTTCGCGGCGAGTTCAATGATATCAGGAACTTCCTGATAGTTCTCTTCAAGGAAAGTAAGCTGAAAAGTAAGGCGGCAGAAGTTCTCACCGGCGGCGGCCACTCGATCTCGTTCGGCAACCAGTTCCTTCACATTCTCGAGAACTTCCTCGAAACGTTGGCCCCTCATGATTCTCTCCTGCAGGGTACTTCCTAACAGACTCAGACTTGGCCCAAATGAAAACCACACGGACCTACCCTAGCGATCATCCTTGTGGCTGTCGCTCCGAAAAGAATGCAATGAAGAAAAAAAACTACATCCAGTCCTGGGTCTCTTTCTCCGCACCATTCCAGGAGATCTTGATATCTGATGTGACTGGAATGAGCTTCTTGGCCCAAGCCTTTGCCCCCAGTCTCGGGAAGGTGCCATTCGTCGTCAAGTTCAATTTGAGGCCAGGGGCCCCATGAGCTTGGAGGCGAGCATCTTCACGAATCACCAAGCATAGGAACTCTTCAAAGTGCTCATACAACAGTGGCTCGCCCATGGTAGATGGGATTACTTCCATCTTGGGACTCTCTGGAGACAGACTCTCCAGATGTAGATCCACCCACTCTGTCAGAACTTTTTCAACCAGCCAGATGCTCATCCTCCGGGGTTTCAATCCTTCCTCCTTCCTTTCTTTCTGCACTGTGGAGTACTGCGAGAAACCCTCACACATGTCACAGTGCAAATTGCAATCGTCGGGGTTCGTGTCAAAGGTCACCCGCCACGGAAGCTCTGCTGCAC